TTATTTAGGTGCATAAATATATTTATTTAGGTTTATAAATATATATATATATATATATATTTAGATATATATAAAAATTCGTTTTCATAACGTGAACCACTTGGCTTCATTCTTTACTCGCATTGTTTAGTTAAGCTTCATTTAATATTTGCATTGTATCGTATACCTCACTACAATCTCATTCTTTACTGTCTGTCCATGGCTCAGGATATCATCCGCATGATCATACAGTATCTGGGCGATGAAGGCTACCATGGCGCTAAGCTTGTATTACAGGATGAGACCAATGCCAAGTCAGCCGAACGGCGCAGCTATAATTCACAAGTGGGTACTATTATACTGTAGTTGGAGACATTTCATTTGGGATATTTTGTTCGTTGTGTTGATATGATCCAATTGTGGTTCATTTATCCATTGGGTGAGTATTATAGACCTTGTGTGTGAATTAGATCTTTTAGGCATTGGATTTCTGTTGTATGAGTAGCGTAGGCCGTGTGTATCAATTAGAGTGCGTAGTAGAACCGGATGTAATGGCATTGCATGATACATTACGGTACTCCGCCAGATACTGCGATTCAGCTTTATTATATATATATATATATAGTGTGTGTTGGTTTCTTAAACTTTATGGTGTTCGTGCACATCCGTATACGCAGGCCAAAAAACTCAAGCGATGTATCCTGGAGGGCAGTTGGTTTGATGTCGAGGACATTATGAAACGGCAGGTGTTCAAATCGAAACGGCCGTTGCTGTTTATGATATACAAAGAGCAATACCTCGAACAATTAGAACAGCGGGAGTATCAGAAGGCATACACTCTCATGACCCGTAAGCTCAAGCCCCTTGAACACTACGCTCTCCCTGTAGGTAGTGTATGCGTGATATACTTGGATATATGTGACGTGTGTATATGCTTGTGTGTGTTTTGTATGTTTGTATGTGGTGTGCGTGTATGTCTGTGTGTGCTGTGCATGTACGTCTGTATGTGCGTTTGTACTGCAAGCTCGCTCTTCTTGTAGGTAGTATATATATATATATATATGTGTGTGTGTGTGTATGTTGTTGTTTTTTGTATGCAAAATGTGTATATGTGTATGTGTGTAAGTACAATGTTTTTATAGGGAGTAAAGGTGCGTATATATGTGCGTGTGTTTATAGTGTGTGTTTGCTTATGTGTGAACAGTGCATGTTTGTGAATGTGTGAATCGAACATGCCTGTAGGAAGTGTGTGTGTGTGTGTGGGTGGGTGTGGGTGTGTGTGTGTTTGTGTGTGTATGTTGAATACGTGCTCAAGTGCTTGCGTGTGTGCCTATATATGCCTATAAATACATAGACATATTCTTTCAGTGTAGTGTATAGCACTTGTGTCTGTACCTGTGTGTAGTGTGTGCACATATCGATGTACTTACCATACACAATACAGATGTTGTGGTCAATAGCGTGGTACAGTATGTATACTGAGACATACTATGAGCACATACTACTGGCAAGTTCCGCGAGCGCTATGACTCTCTATTGGGGACATATGCGGACATTCTATGTGTATTCTAAGCCTTGTGGTCAAACTTATGCTTGAGTTCTAAGTCGTTCGCATCTACAGTGTCTGTCAATGGGTGAAGGTCCTCACAGGCGCGTTTTATACACATGCATACATACATGAGTGTGTATGCGAAATTCATTCCATTCATGCATATATGCATGCACTTGCGTCGACACTTTCAAGTATGTTGCCTCGTGTATTCTGTTGCACCTACTGTATAAGTGCACACATAGAAACACACTCGCTTTGCATAAACACACACATCGAGCGTATACACACATACATACCTACACACTCGCTTTGCACATACCTACACACACGCTTTGTACATACATATACACACACACATACACACACTCTTCTCGCATACACAAACATACAAACACACGCAAACCCACACAGGGCGAGTTCCGTGAACTGTGCTATCTGCTGACCTGCAGCTCCCTCCAAGACTCGCCCGTGTTCAAGAACTGGGACAGTCCCACTGCCGCACGGGAGAAGTTGGTGATGCAGGCTGACAAGCTGCTAGAGGTAGACCACGTGGTCAATGAGGATGTGGCTGTGCCCCCACAGAGGCTGCAGGTAGGTGGGCTATAAATATAAGTGTCTAGGGTCAGGTTAGGTTTAGGTATTAGTCTCGTGTCAGATTGGTTTTAGGTATCCGTCTCGGGTCAGACTAGTCTTAGGTATGGGTCTCAGACCAGATTACTTTTAGGTATTAGTCTCAGGTCAAATTAATTTTACGTATTGGTCTCTGATCAGCTTGGTATTGGGTATTAGGTATTAGGCTCAGTCTCAGTTTAGATTAGTTTAAGGTATCAGTCTCAGGTCAGAATATTTTTTATTTACTACTAAAAATACAAATAGAAACATATACATATATATACAC